CTCAGACCAGCTCTTTGTCTGTCATGGAGGGAGCCAGAATCTGCTCCAGTGTTCCATATGCGTTCCTATGTGGCCATATGTGTATTCGTAAGTCCTCCCTTTGGTAGGCAGCTGGTAGCATGTCCCTTCCGGGATATGTTTCCCAGTGTACCTTGGTAATTCTGTGTCAAAGTCGGATCCCCAAAAAAAAAAAAAAAAAAAAAGAGGTAAGGCTCGGGGGTCCAGACTTTCGCAGGGCACTGGAAGACAGCTTGAAGATGGCGTGATGGCACAGACCCCCAATCTCCGTCACTTCTGACGTAACTCGAAGTGACTACGGGAACGGAGACGTTACGTCTCCCTGCCACTTCTGCTGTATCGCTGGGTAGATGCCGAGTTCAGTCTTGGCTCCTCAGCGAAGACATACTGCGGTTGCGTTCACTTCCTCCTTTTATACTCACGGAGTAGGGCGGAGTACGCTATGCAAATTTCCGCAGCCCCAAGGCATTGCATGCCATTGGCTCGTGTTTAAATACTCGAAGAGGATTGGCTTTCTATGCGAAATCCCCCAATCTCCGTCACTTCTGACGTAACGTCTCCGTTCCCTACTCAGGGAACGAGGGTTACATACGTAACCGAGACGTTTTCCCTCATGACCTCAAGAGGGCCAAGGTAATCCCCCTTTTTAAAAAGGGAAATAGCCACGATCCCGGTAACTATAGACCAATCTCTATTTTATGTACATGAATAAAAACAACTTCATGTTTAAATTGCAATCTGGATTCAGGAAGTCACATTCTACCGAATCATGCCTTCTCTATTTATCTGAAGTCATTCACAGGGAAATAGATAATGGAAAACTCTGTGGAATGGTGTTATTGGATCTGCAAAAGGCATTTGATATGGTGAACCATGACAGACTGATTGCCAAACTTGAGGCCTTAGGGGCAGACAGCTCCACCTGTAGATGGTTTAGATCTTACCTATCAGGGAGGGAACAACTGGTAGCCTTAGGGGGAGTACTGTCAGATCCTTGTATAGTTGAGTGTGGCGTTCCACAAGGAAGTATTCTCGGACCGCCATTATTTTTAACATATATTAATGATATGGCCGACTCCTGTTCATGTGAACTATTTTTATACGCGGATGACTCTGCACTCTTAATGTCTCATAAACAACAATCCATTCTAGAGAGTAACCTGAGCGCTGAGTTATCCTCTATAAACAACTGGCTGATTGACAATATGCTGTCTCTACATTTTGAAAAGACAGAGGCTATTCTGTTTGGTTCAAAATATAAACTGAACAGATGCTCGAAATTTAGGGTTATTTTGAATAATATTGAGGTCAGTACAAAAACGTCAGTAAAATACCTGCGCTGCATCCTAGAAAACAACTTGGATGGCAGGTTGATGGCCAACAAGGTTCTGAGTAAAGTCACTGGGCTGATAAAGTTTTTAGCTAGAAACTCTACATTTTTAGATAGGTCAACAATGATCATTTTAGCTAACGCTTTAATTTTAAACCAGTTTGAATATGCATGCACTTCCTGGTTTGAAGGTCTTACAAAATGACTTAAAGAAGGCTGCAAACAGCACAAAATAAATTAATAAGAGTAATTCTAAACATGGGCCATAGGTCTCATGTAGGTAAGGCACAATTTGCTGAGCTTAACTGGCTTCCGGTTGAGTCACGCGTTATTATGTCAAGACTGACCATGACTCACAAAATATTGTATGGTAAAGTCCCAAATTATTTGTTGGGCCTTATTACTAAGATGAAGGACACACACACTGTTTACTCTTGTTGCAGTATATCAGACCTCTGTCCTTATGCATTCAAGACAATGTTAGCAATAAAAACATTTGCCTATATAGGGGCTGTTCAGTGGAACATGTTAGACCGGCAAATTAAAGTAATCTTAAGCATTAATTCTTTTAAAAAGAGGACCAAGGATTGGTTATTAGAGAGTGTAGCGAAATAGAACAATGAGACAGTTACCATCTATAATTTGTATAGAAAATGAAAATGTTTTGTATAGTATGTTGTCATTGTTATCACACTATATGTGTCACCACCCTTGGACTGTCTGTGTTTTGATTCTTCACGTGTTCCCCTCGTCTGAGTTCTCCGCCCTCATCTGTTTCCATGGACACTAACCACCTCCCGCACAGCTGATTGTCATTTGTTAATCACCGTCACTGTGTATTTAGTTCCTGCCTGTCTTCACTCCCTTGTCCGGTATTGTTTGTGTTTAACACGCTGTCATCCTGTCTGCCTGTTCCTGAGATTCATCAATTAAAGTATTCGTGTTAATTCTACCTTCATCCTCGTCTTCCTTGACCTGCCCCGTGACAATATGTAATTGTCCTGTCTTGACGTTATGTGTAAGAGGACCACAATGGAAATAAGTCCTGGACTTTATTGTGTTTTAATCCTTGATTATATTTCGATGCCTTTTGTTTTTATGTTTTAAAGGGTTATTTCACCCAAAAATGAAAATTAAGTCATTAATTACTCACCCCCATGGTGTTTATTCGACTATTCCTTTTCTTCCTTGTTGGCCTGAAACGAGACTTCAATAGATTTTCAAGACGCATGCGCGAGAATTGCGATCTCCTTCAACTACTTCAGTTCAGTTCTCGCGCATGCGTCGTGAAAATCTATGGAAGTCTATGGAAAAAGGAATAGTTGAATAAAGTAGTTATTTTTGTTTGTTTTTTCGCACAACAAGTATTCTCGTCGCTTGATAAACTTATAGTTGAGCCACTGTAGTCACATGGAATATTTAAACATTTTCTTCATTGACTTTATGGGCTGTCAAGTGTCATTCCCTTAGGAGCCTATGTGGTAGTTATACAGCTCTCAAATTTAATCAAAAACATCTTCATTTATGTTCCGAAGATGAACGAAGGTCTTACGGGGTTGGTACAGCATGGGGGTGAGTAATTAATGACTTAATTTTCATTTTTGGGTGAACTAACCCTTTAAGGCTTTCTTGATATAATTAAATAAAAAAACCAAAACCAAAACCAAACAGTCTCGACATCATTATTTACGTGTATCCACCGTCTATGGTATCCACCTTTGGCATTCCCGTTTCGCCCGTAAAGGTAATGGGCTTTAACCTTCCGGACAACGTGAGCGACAGTTTAGCCAATCACAACACACCGGCCCAAACGAACCAATCTGAGCCCATTGCCTGTTTCTGAGGGAGTGGTTTCATAGAATCAGGAATACAACCGCTCGTTCAGGGTACAGAGGAGAGCACGGCTTACAATAAAGGTGAAGTTTATGAAAAGTAAGACTTTTTAAAAAAGAACAAACACGTATACATGTTATATTGCACCCCATAAACACAATCATGCAAAGAAAAAAAAGCAGTCAACCCCCCCCCCCCCCCTTTAAATAAGCACCATGCTTTGTCCACATCAAAAATGAAAGATGAATGTTTATATAAATATGGTTCTTCTCATAAAGAATGAACACCTTAATCTAGAGCAGTGGTTCTCAAAGTGGGGGGGGAGCTAAAGCCAAGGGGTCCGCGAAATAATTTACAACCTAACGTTTTTTTCCATGCTATGAGTCATGTTTTCTTTATCATCTGAAAACATGCTGTTTATTCCTAAGTAACTTATATAAAGCATTTAACATAAAACAATACAAAGTAGACACTTAAAGTTTTCTATAGATAGATAATCTATGTCTTTGCGTCAAGTAGATTCGCTGCTGTTGATTTTGCGGGACGTGCGCCAGAAAGGAGACAGAGACAGAGAGACGGCATGAACCCGCATCCGGTTCTTTTCTGTATTTTTAAAAGGCATGACATTTTGTAGTCATTTATAATGTAGCCTATACACAAATAAAAAATGGACACTTTACCGTTTCGGATGATGCACTCTTGTCTTATATATGACCATAAATAAGAGTATTCCTGTTTCCACTGCTGAGGAAAAATTCCCATGTAATTGCGCGCCGGCGTCTCGCGTGCGCGCACAATAGTCAGTTCTAGCACTGCTACTGTAGATTTGACATTAGAAGTCTGATCATTATCAAAATAAAAGTGCATAGTGACAGGGCCGTACCCACAACTGAGGTTGCAAGGATGCACATCGCGATGATACTGACCTTCTCGTCTGAGGTGCTTCAGCAGACTAACAACGATAGCTCGTCAATGTCAAAATGTTTGAGTCGGAGTGAACTCAAAGTTCCCCGCACGACGTTTCAGTCAACGGTCATAAAGTGCGAGATAAGATGTAGGCCTTAATTAACATAAACTAAACAGCTGTTTTAGATAAAAGTTTTAAAAACGACTGAAACAATCAGTTTGCAAAGTATTAATCAAGCTCAACTTTAACAAAGGAAAAAGCAGGTCAATAGAAACATACTGTGCCCATGAGATTAACATTATGGATTCATATATTTAACATATACTGTATGTTTTTTTTTAGCTAATTACAGTAGCTCAAATTAACAACGCACGCACCTATTAAACATAATGCCATTTTCATTGTATTTATAGGCTTATGGGCTTTATTTGTGTGCAGAATAGGCCTAATTATTGAAACATTTCTCTTTTAAGGCCATTCCTGATTGGAATATGTGATTGTGTTTCGTGACATCTTGACAAAAAAAAAATGTATGCCACTGACTGACATGCTTCTACTAAATCTATAGTTATCCAATTGTGGGGCCTTAAAACACCTTAAAATGCACATGTGTAGATCAAGAACATCAAAAATTCCTAAGTGAGGGATCCTAACTAAGTGATTCCTAGCAAGATCACTTTCGTTACCTCAGTTGGCTATTTAGAAATTCCTGCATAGTACCCTGGGTGGAGACCATTCATTTTGTGCAAAAATATTTCATTTGCCGCTCACACATTAACTTTGTGCTCAATAACTGTTAGAAATATGAGGGGGGTCCTTGGAATTTTTTTTCCCCTGAAAGGGGTCCCTGGCACCAAAATGTTTGAGAACCCCTGATCTAGAGGATTAAATTGAATCTGTTCTCTGTTCCAGTTCAGTCCAGCAGAAGAGCTCAAACCCAGAGTCCAGCTGTGTGTCTATGAAGAGGAACGCTTCTATGAATATGCCACTAATGTTTAAGAGTGGAGACACATGGCCTAATCTCAGGTATATCATCTATGTTATGCTTATAGTGTAACACTGTTAAATATTGTATTACATCACAGAAAAAGTGATGTAATACAATGCATCACTTTTTATTGTCTAAATTTAAACAACCCCTCACTTTCGGGTTGAGCTTTCCGCGACTGCGCAATTGGGGTATAGAGCATCACAGTCCCGAACTCATAAGCATAAAACATATCATTTCGAGTGAAAAAACTAAGAGAAAATCCAAAAAAAGTGAAGCCTGTGTACATATTTTCATTTCCGAGCAAAGGAACTACTCATCCCATAAACCACCGCACCTCACTGAAGCCACCGTGAAAGAGCCTTTTGAGTGACTTCCAGATCTGACGACGGCCATGTGAATTTTTTCCTCCAGTGAATTTTTTATAGTGAATGTGCAGGGAAACTCCTTTTCCTCGATTTACTGAAGCTTATATATAAAACGCATTTGCATCTGGCTCGCTCATAGGCTGTGCTGCGGCAACTGCAATGGCGCGGGGGCATCTCTGAGGTGCGACCAATGAACTTAGCCCTACGTTATTACACGATCTTTAGGTCTTCACGTGCCTTCGCAGGGTCTCTGTCAGGCATACCTGTCAACTCTCCCGGGTTTCTCCCGTTTTTTAGCCCCATCTCCCGGACTCCTCCTGGTTTGTTATTTCTCCCGGGAAACTCCCGTAATTTGCTTGTACACAATACAGATTGCATCAACTGCTTTGATGCAATCTGTATTGTGATATAAATATACTTGTCTTGACTTGACTCTTGGGTAAACCTCTATGTATTGAATTGTTAATACATTCACACTGTAAATGCTGTTGGACGGTTACTCAGTTAATAACTGTAACGACCACAAACCTGGATAATCACCACACATGATTTTCCATAATCCTTTCCCCAGACTAATAAGCCATGATCACATTCACCTGTATGTAGGGATGGGTACCGAAACCCGGTATTAAACGGGCCCCGGTACTGAATTTTGAAAGACCGTTGTATCGATAAGCTCGGACGTTATCGGTTCTGCTGTCGGTACTGGAGAAATTATTTATCATTCCTATAAAGACGTTGTCTTGAACATGTTTATATCGCCAGCCTTTTCTATATATAAACTATATTTTAATTAAACCATTTGTCTGTGATGCAAATTTGAAATTCGCAGTTCAGAAGAGAGAGAGAAGAGAGAGCGATCTCTCACGCAAAGCCACAGCACGCGCAACACGACAGTCCTTGCTTAATGAGTGACAATGAGGACAAAACTACACATTCAACGTGGTTACACTTTAGATGTGGGATATTATTAATATATTTTGTATTTCGGCTTCCAAAGATTATAAAAAGAAGATATTTGAGATAAAACAGTTAAAAAACAAGACGCATGATCTGTCCAGCTTAACTTCCTTTAGCCTACTTCACAGCACTGCGGAGTGCTGTCAGTTCTTCCTAAAACCCAAACGTACCGTCATAAGCAGTACGATCAACGATTGTTGCAAAATGCTGTCTTCTACTGTTGCACGATCAAAAAAAGGCTATTAAAAACACAAAAGCCTGCGCAAGAGACGCTGTTCACAAGGCGGTGCGCGCTCCGAAACGAACTGCAACGAGACAAGAAAAGTAGCCTATAGCCTACTTTGGGCTTTGTAACCTTTGTGTGTCCTTAACTATCAAATATACATAAAAATGTCAAAATGACCAGCTCTGAGATTCACTTAAACACAGTTTATTCACTTAAACACAATTATGTCTAAAATGGACGTAAATAATAGGGAGAAAATTATGGTGCTTCAGTTACCGATTAGATTTGCTCTCGGTCTTAAAGGGGCAGCAGTCTAATAGCCTAAACCTGCTGACGATTCAGCCATTAATGCAAATCAAACAACAAAAGGCAGAGAAAATCACTCACAGCTTTTGAATGAGTAACTTTAGATTTAATAAGCATTAATCTATCTATGATAAACTATACAGTGCTATTTTATATTTGATTACTAAATTAGGTTTCTTTTCAGACAGAAACAATTACCTGAAAAGATATGTTAGTACACCTTCCTGAAATTAAAGCACTTTGTATATAATTGTATTTATTGTATATAATTGTAATTGCACTTTGTATATAATATAATTGTGTTTGTACTTGTTTTTTTTCTTATGTGTCCTTTTTGTATATAAAACAAAAAAAGCCTGCACATTGCTGCATAAAAAAATATATTTTTCTTCGTTTTGCTTTTTCTATTTTACATTTCAAAATATAGAGTTTAATTATGTTCTTAATTCTTAAAAAAAAAAAAAAAAAAAACAAAAAGAACCGATAAGAATACCGTTAAAGTACCGGATCGATAAGCGGTATCGGTATTCTTGACTCGGAGCAGTTTGTAACAAGAACATAATTACATCAATATCAGTGTGTCTGACTCCTTGCCCTCTTCATTCTGATTTAATGTCAAATCTTCCATCCAGACCAGTTAAAAACAAATGATTTTATAGAGTCTGTGATTCAACCACAAGACTTAAATGAAAGCATGTACCCTGATTTAAGGGTAAAAAATGCAGGACTTTTGTTGATGTTGTTTAATTTTAGGAGCTGCAATTCAAATCACACATCACTCAAACACATAATCAATGATGTAAACATTTCAGAAACCTAATGATGTTCTGTGTCCCATCATACAGCAAACAAATAATTTTGTTATTAATGTTTATTTCCTTCTCCAACTTGTGTAATAATGTTGTATTTGAATCTTACAGCCATGACTCTAATCCTGCTGAAGTCCTCAACACATTAAGATCAAATCTGAGACAGAAGTTTGAGTGTGTGTGTGAGGGAATATCAAAGCAGGGAAACCCAACACTCCTGAATGAGATCTACACAGAGCTCTACATCACAGAGAGTGGAAGTGGAGAGATCAATAATGAGCATGAGGTGAGACAGATTGAGACACAGTCCAGGAGAGCAGAAACAGAGGACACACCAATCAAATGCAGTGACATCTTTAGACCTTTACCTGGACAAGACAAACCCATCAGAACTGTGCTGACAAAGGGTGTCGCTGGCATTGGAAAAACAGTCTCTGTGCAGAAGCTCATCCTGGACTGGGCTGAAGGGAAAGAGAATCAGGACGTCCAGCTCATATTTCCACTTCCTTTCAGAGAGCTCAACTTGTTGAAGGACAAAACACTCAGTCTTTCAGATCTTCTTCATCGCTTCTTCCCTGAAACCAGAGAAATGGCCATATCCAGTGATGAGTATAAAGTGCTGTTCATCTTTGATGGTCTGGATGAGTGTCGTCTGTCTCTGGATTTTCAGAGCGATGTGAGGTTGTGTGATGTGACTGAATCAGCCTCAGTGGACGAGCTGCTGACGAACCTCATTGTGGGGAATCTGCTTCCCTCGTCTCTCATCTGGATCACCTCCAGACCAGCAGCAGCGGATCTTGTCCCCTCTGAGTGTGTCCATCGAGTGACAGAGGTACGAGGCTTCAGTGACACACAGAAGGAGGAATATTTCTGGAAGAGAATCAGTGATCAGAGTGTGGCCTACGGGATCATCTCACACCTGAGGTCCTCAAGGAGCCTCTTTATTATGTGCCACATCCCAGTGTTCTGCTGGATCTCAGCCACTGTTCTAGAGAGGATGTGTAGTGAAGCAGAGGGAGGAGAGATTCCCAAGACTCTCACTCAAATGTACACACACTTCCTGCTCATTCAGACCAACATCAAACATGAGAAGGACTATGAGAAAAAAGTGAAAGATGAAGCCATGATTGTCAAACTGGGGGAACTGGCTTATCAGCAGCTTGTGAAAGGCAACCTGATCTTCTATGAGGAAGACCTGAGCGAGTGTGGCATTGATGTGGCAGAAGCATCAGTTTACTCAGGATTGTGCACTCAGATCTTCAGAGAAGAGTTGGGCTTGTATCAGGGGAAAGTCTTCAGCTTTGTTCATCTGAGCATTCAGGAACATCTAGCAGCTCTATATGTGCATCTCTCCTTTATAAACTATAACATCAATGTGTTTGTCCAGATTACCAAACCAACTAATGGAGACAAAGTGTCACTGTCTGATCTCCATCTGAGAGCTGTGGATGAGGCTTTAGACAGTAAAAATGGGCATCTGGACCTTTTCCTTCGTTTCCTTCTGGGTCTGTCAGTGAAGTCTAATCAGAGTCTCTTACAAGAAATAAAGATACAGACAGCAAACAGCTCTCACAACAATGAGGAAACAGTTGACTATATTAAAGAGAAGATCAGTGAGAATCCCTCTCCAGATAAATACATCAATCTGTTTCATTGTCTGAATGAACTGGGTGATCTTTCTCTAGTGAACGCAGCTGAACCTCATATGAGCCGTGGAGGATTACGTAACGTGAAACTCTCCTCGTCTCAGTGGTCAGCTTTAGTGTTTGTGTTGTTGTCCTCAGAGGAGACACTACAGGAGTTTAACCTGAGCAGCTTAATTGGAGACGAAAATGATGAGTAAGTAACACTGAGTACAATCATTACAGTCTAAAACATTATAAACAAAGAGAAACTAAAGGTGGTAAAATTATGGGGCACAGACTGATTTCTGGGATATTGTACATAATTTGCGGGTGTTTCCCAAACCGTGGCTGTGTCCTAGTAAGGCTGCATATCTCGACTGCCACGTCATCAAGCGCCTCTGAAGGCCGTCTCAGTTTGAAGGATCTTTTGAAGACAGACTTCATTTTGTATTTAATTCAGCTAATTTTCAAGGATGCATCAAGTCTATCCTTTATCTTCTATAAACTCCCACAATCCTTGGCACACATTCCAATTCATGTGAAAAAAGAATTGATGGGAAACGAGTCGGCACTGATTTTATCTGAATTCATTAAGAAATGTGAGACACACATATGTTTGTAATGTGTTTGGAAATGAAGGCATACATGTTATTTATGTTTCTGTGTAAATTAATCACTGAACACTAAACTGACAATAATGTAATCCCCTGGACGACACAGATGTCATTCACTGTATTGCATTAATAAAAAAGCCAGTTAATATAAAGATATTTAATAGAAAGTATTTCTCCAAAAATAGGTTTTAATAGTATTTTTGTGCCATGATCATGGGGCGAGAACATGTGTGATGTAGCCATGCACACTTACTAGAGCATCTCATTCTAGTGTTTAATGCTGAGGACTCGAATCTACAACCCTCAGAAGGACCTGAGTAACATCATTTTACATTTGAGTGCGCAATCCTTTCAAAGTAAACTCATTTGACCGTTGTGTGCTATCACAAAAATTGGGCTGCAAGCGGATCCTCCTGATGATGAAAATTACGGCCAAAGTAAACTTGATAAAACAGTTAATCGCCTTGATGCGGTTGCTGGTGTCCGTTTAGCTCTTTACAGTGGCGTAGCGGACAGGCACACAGGGCATATTCAATTATTTTTGTTATTATTATTAGGCTACTTTTATCATTTATCTTAAATTATTATACTTGGGAATTTGTCTTCAGGGAGGCCTGGTGAGGCCTACTACCTGATAGGCAGTCAGGCTAGCTGTCCAGATGCCCATACTTGGGATCTCGCCTTCAAGGAGGCTTGGTGAGGCTTACTACCTGATAGCTAGTCAGACTAGCTGTCCAGTTGCCCATACTTGGGAACTCGACTTCAGGGAGGCTTACTACCTTATTGCCAGTCAGGCTAGCTGACCAGATGCCCATACTTGGGGTCTCGCCTTCAAGGAGGCCTGGTGAGGCTTACTACCTGATAGCCAGTCAGACTAGCTGTCCAGTTGCTCATACTTGGGAGCTCAACTTCAGGGAGGCCTACTACCTTATTGCCAGTCAGGCTAGCTGTCCAGATGCCCATACTTGGGATCTCGCCTTCATGGACGCCTGGTGAGGCCTACTACCTGATAGTAAGTTAGAAAACCAATAGCTATGAACCCTGATTCAGGGTGTCAGTCCCAGGGTGGCCTAGTTGGCTTACCCAGTCCTGGGGTTTAGTCTTGGAGCGGCCTGTTAAAGGACAAGTTCGGTATTTTACACTTAAAGCCCTGTTTTAAGATCGTTTCTGATTAAATAGAACAGTTAAGATTGAAATTTGGACACATGCTGCTGGCCCGAGAATTTTCGGTTTCTGTGGTTGCACCCAACAAAATCCTTCCTAAAACGCATTTAAGTTTTACAAAGACGTGAAAATCACCGAGTCATCAGGGGTGTTCACTGATATGGGATATTGATTAAAGAGATGTGGTAAGCAGCTAAGGCCGCCATGTACACCTTTAAGCCAAGTTCACACTACAGGATTTTAAGTCCGATTTAAGCCCGATTTGCAAATTGTTGAGCTCGCAGACAGGTCAGGGTGTCATCGCCTGCAAAACGCGGGGGATTTGTGAGCGATGAACGCTTGCCAATCTGTTAGTATGAAAGAGCCAACAACACAGCGAAGACGCTCGAAGACGCTCGCAGACGCGTCGCCGAGCCCAGAAAAATATCTAGCATGCTAGATATCCAGAGCCATCTCGCAACTCAACCTCAGTGATGTCATGAGCTACAGCCGATCATAGCAAGGCATGGGTTGAGGTCACCGGGTAAATCTTATTTTTTCTTTTTTTTCTCAGAGCAAATCATCACGCGAACAGTGTGCAGCACTAGTTTCTGTGTGACGTCCATATTCGCATGTTGTGTTCTCTTCTTCGCTGGGTATTGGCGCACGTGCTGTTTCACGTCATTTCTGGTTCTTTTTATTGCGTGGTTTTTCGTGACAAAAAGTGGTTTGTAGACAAGATAGAATCGTTGGGTGACAGAGTTGTTATCAACTCGTTATTTATTGATTATTTTCAGGATTTAGACCGTACCATAGTACTGAAACAGCTCTCATTAGAGTCACAAATGATTTGCTCTTATCATCCGTTCATGGTTGTATCTCTATGTAGTGCGTTGTCAACTCGTGTAGTGCGTTTCCTCCTGTTGTGGGTGACAGTTATCAACTCGTTATTTATTTGATTATTTTCAAGATTTAGACCGTACCATTGTACTGAAATAGCTCTCATTAGAGTGACAAATGATTTGCTCTTATCATCCGATCGTGGTTGTATCTCTATGTAATGCGTTGTCAACTCCTGTTGTGGATCAATCACGTTGTGTTGTGTGGTGTGAACAGCTAAACAACTTGAACACTCCTGATTTCACAAAGAGTAAGTCATGTAGTGTGAACCGCACAGTTCAGCCTGACGTTTTAAAATCATGTAGTGTGAACAAGGCTTTAGTGTGGATAGACCTGTGGAGACCACTGGGCAGATAACTGTGTCCAGCTGGTGCTCTCCAAACCAAGTAGTGAAAAATATCCACTTCAAGGTGTAGAGTTTTCTCGTGGAGGGAGCTCTGGGGTGGAGGATGGTCTCAACAACCTCATTTGAGAAACCTGAACTTATGTCCAAGCCCAAGCCCAAATTTTCCACAATTCTGGGGGGGTGAAGGATCAACCCTCTCGCCTGAGAGAAAAGGCCCCCCCGGAGTGGAATCTCCAGAAGAGCCGTCGAGGAGAGACTCTAGGTCCAAGAACTGTACTCGGGCCTGCCTAAACATGGCTTGTTAACAGAAGACGGAACCCTTTCCAGCGAACTCTCTCCAGAACTCCCGGGAGCAGAGAGATCCTCGGCCACATCTGCACCAAAGTTTTTCATGGGGGCTCCACCTCCTCAGGGTGGAGTTCCATTTCCCTGTTCTTGGCCCCTGCCTGTTGTAAGCTCCCTGATTTAAAACTCGGGATGTAAATTGTCTTAAAAGAGCAAATTCCCTTGGGCCCAGAGGAGGATCTGGTGAGCCAGTTTGCATAAGTGACGTGACTTCAGACTCCCCTGATGGTGATGTAAGAGACCACCGATGTTTTGTCCATGCGGACAAGCGCATGATGGCCCTTCAGGTCGGGGATGAAGTGTTTGAGAGCTCAAAACACCGACATAATTTCTAGCCGATTTATGTGTGTAGAAAGTAGATGGTCCTGCCACAGACCTTGCGGCGAGCGACCACTTATGATCGCCCCCCCCCCCCCCCCCAACCTGTAAAGGAAGCGTCTGTTGTTAGCATTACATGACGACAAGAAGCCCCCAACACTGGGCCTTGGGCGAGGAACCAAGGTTTCTTCCACATGACTAAGGCACGTAGGGGTCGCCATGTGACCTTGATCAAGCGAATATCAGATTGTAGGAATTTACGCCGGGTTCACACCACGGAAAATCACGCGCGGTCCAGCGCCTCCCTGTTCACACCAGACACGTATTCTTCGCGGAGGTCAACAAACGCTTCTGCTCAGTTGTTGTTTATTCAGAGCTATTTTTTTACATCATGGGTAAGTAAATAACCTCATAAAATAAATACACCATGTTTCTGTAACCAAGAAGTTTGTACACTTCTTTTATTAATCCGTTGTCGAGACACACACACAGCGAGAGAGAGAATATGGTAGACTGTTACAGTAGTGCATATATACCATTGAAATATACATCCTCCCTGTTTGTTTGTGTGTTCGCATTTGTCACTCGCGGTATTTTAATTTGAAAATTGCTTATAATTTGACCAAAGGAAGCGGCCTCCGTTCCGCGCCGCTTCCATGTCGCTTCAGCGTCCGGTGTGAACCCGCCGTAAGTGTGTGAGTTGGATTTGTTATATGTGTATACTTTGATGTGTAGCCATGACATTGTACTATTAGCAATAACACTAGCCAACGTTCAGGACTGTTACCATGAGTTTTCCCCATAACGTTAGAGCTGTAGCTATATGACCGTTTTTTTTCATGATGCACGAAACGGGAGGAAGGGGCGAGCTAACTTGGTTTGTTTGGGATCTCGCTTCAAACACAAACAGAAGTAACGTCACCCACAATCGCTGATACAACCTTTAAAGGGAATGTGATATGACGCTCTGATTGGTTTATTTCACGTTACGCCCAAACCACACCTATGAATGATGAAGCAATTTCAGACCATCCCCTTTTAAACTTGCGTTGGGCACAAGAGTCATTTATCCTGCTGGTAAAATAGCAACAAGACCCGGCCACAAAGTTTCTTGCGATTCGCGCTTGATACTTGCGTTTCAGATTGTTAAAATAGTGTTGTCGTGTAAATGCAGACTAATGGACCTGCCACAGCAACATTGAAAAGAAAAAAAAAACTATTCTGTGTTGGCTGAATACAAAGCTTCTAGCTATAGATACTAAAACAACATTTTCACGTGTCTTTTATAAAGCAGTGTTTAATTAAAACAATATTTGAGGGCATTTGGGAATGTATTATTTACTTGTGATATGAATCAGTAGTATTAGCATTAGCATTAATAATGAACTTATGTATTTTTTTTTATTTTCAACTAGTGTTACACAAAACACAGACAATGAACTTCTTCAGAAGCTGCTGCCTGTGGTTACAGCAACTAGATCACTTGTGTAAGTAACACAGAACAATTATCACTGCTAAAACGTTATAACATTTATTTTTAAACATTAGAAATTGATGGTTTAACAAACAATACGAGTCACACATCAGCTTTTAAACCCTCCGCCTATCTGACCTGATTTGTTGTATAGTTTTTTTATTATACCGTTTTTTTATTATATTTGTTTGAGAAATTTATTTTCAAATATATGCATTTTTAATGTATTTGTATAAACATTTATATTTAGACTTTTTACATTAATTTTAATTTAAATGTTAATACATTAGGATAAAAACAGATGTATTCCATGTATTCGTGCATCAGTTTTATATCTTATATCTACATATATTACATATATCTAAATATATCTTCCTCCTTCACATAGAGACATAATCTCTTAGAATAACTGTTAAATGTATTGATATATTTAATTCATGGTTTTAAAAAAGAGATATTGCACAAATGATGAACACAATTAAGAAAAACAAAGATTTCTGTGTTGATCCGAGAGAGCGAAAAGTGTGTAATTGTTCTCCACAGGTTTAGGGATTGTGGTGTCACTGGTTGTGCAGCTCTGGCTTCAGCTCTGAGATCAAACCCCTCACAACTGAGAAAACTGAATCTGTCATATAATCAACTAGGAGACTCAGTGAAGCTGCTCTCTGCTGTACTGGAGAATCCTCTCTGTAAACTGGAGAAACTGGGGTAAGATCATACTTGATTCTCACATGAAACTGCCACTGTGAATTCATAAAGTATAATCAAAACGGAATAAAATGCAGGGAAATGACTATTATTAGATTAATTACAAAGCAAAGCTATTGAAACAACATGATCAAATTCATCAAATTAATTTCATGTTTGCTCAAATGATGTAAGAGCATTCATATTTTTCTGTTTGAAGCATTTGCTCTATTTCTTCTGCTGCTGTGAGTTCATGTGTTTCTTCTGTAAACAGGGATTCAAGTTCTGCATTGTTACGGATTTCCGGTAATTGCAGGGTCCTCGTCTGTCCTTAATGTCTTAAATTCACTTTACATAATTTTAAGGCCATTAATAGGCTTACATTTCTCAAAAAGTGTAATGAATGTCTTAATTTGAGTTTGAATAGGTCTTAAATCAAGGAAAGATGAGGCGTATTGACCCTGCTGATGGGAATGTGATCAAAGCCTGGAGTGGAGCGAAAGGACGTTCCTCTCTCCACTCTAAGCTTTCTGTGATCACTTCGCTCCGGCTCACTCCGGGTTTTCCATTCCCGCTCACGGAAAAACTGCTCCGTGTTCACTCCATTTTAAAAGTTATTCTAATATGTTTTTGTTTTTTTTATATCATGAATGTCTGAACACAACATTTATAATACTATATTAAATGGTTTGGAGAGTGTTCTACACATGTAATAAATAAAAAACACAAAAATGTCATATTATTACTGAAATATTATGAATAAATATTATTATACAATACATATATAAAGGTGTATATACCCGTTTACCTGTTTGGAGAATGTTGGAAAATGGATAATTACCTGGTACTTACCATAATGTAATACCATAAAATACAAAGGGCAGCTATCTCACACAAAGAGGGTAAAGTGTGGAAGTCAAGGAGTGCAATTTGAGGTGCAATGGGCTCTATGCACGGCGGTATTTCCGGTGAAGGTTTAAGGATGCTCGATAACTTCCGCCGATTGTAGAGTCCAATGCAATACCGAGAATTTATATTGAATTTTATACTCCATGGTTATACTAAAGAAATGTTAGTCACAAAAACAGATAAAACAGACACCCCTCGTTGTGTTTATGCTTCTTTTTAAAATTATAAAAATAAACATAACTATATTATAAACATAACTACTGTATATATAAAATTACATCTAAACGTATGAACGTTTCGTTTCAAAGACGGGAGGACAGTAAATTTTGAAGACTCTGCCATAATCCCGTTTTCCTCGGTTTTCCTCCACTTTAATCTCCCCAGCCTGAAACTGTTGAGCTTCCTTGCATCAAATGCGGAACTTATGCATGCATATAGCCCATTGGATACTATTGAAATCTTTTCGAGTGGAAGGAAATTCAGCCAAGAGCTCAGTGTAAATAAATTTTTTTTTTTGTTCCGATATTAATATATTAATATATTTTTTGTACACTTTGAGATATGAAGAACCCTTGCACTGTAGTGCTATTCTGGCTGAGCCATCATTCTTGTGCTGAGAGCCTTCTACCAACACGCCTCATCACGAGTGGTGTCAGAAGTGTGATGGCTAGCCACTAAACAGTGCATGTTGGAAAACCAGGGAGGGTCGTAGGTCCCAAAGAAAGAGTGTCTACGAGGAGGTGGCATAGGACACACTGGACGATGAGGAAGAGGAGACTGGGACAGGGCACAAAGCCAGCTTCCCTCGGTTACAGCCACTACGGAGGTTGACATGGTGTCCTTGATGCAAGACTTTTTGGCAGCTCAGCAGAGGCGGAAGGAAGGTTATAAAATCATTTATAAACTCAGGGGTCAACGAGAATCAATACAATGGCGGAACTCACCAGTGTCTACACACAGTCTATGCTTTGAGCGTCCCACATGTGTACCCCGTCTCAACGAGCAGACCTCAGCAGAGCGACATCAGACTGGGTCCCAGCCATCTTACAGACCTACTGGGAGTAAGAGAACACCCCCCAATGCTACGACAAGACCAGAGAATTCCAGCATAGCATGAAGGAGAGGATATAGAGAATTATCTCCGGAGGTTTGAGCATCTGGTCAGGACCAGGGATGACCAGGAGTGGAATGGGTATGTTGATTGGTGCCCTTACTTACATGAAAGGCACTTGAGGCATACATAGCCATGAACGAGGACAGGGCTGAGGTCTATGAGAACCTAAGGAAGCACTGTTGGAGAAATTGAATATTCCCACAGAGACCTACAGGGAGAAACCTACTGAGACCTACAACCGTGTAAAGGGGCTTTATCGTTGCTGGGTCAGGCTAGAGTCAAGTCAAGTCAAGTCACATTTATTTATATAGCGCTTTTCACAATACAGATTGTATCAAAGCAGCTTCACAGTGATAACATGAAAGTAGTACAACACAGATCAATAATATTGCTAAAAACTAAATAACCCCAACTGAGCAAGCCAAAAGCAAGGCGACAGTGGCAAGGAACCAAAACTCCATCAGATTGGATGGAGAAAAAACCTTGGGAGAACCCAGGCTCAGTCGGGGGCCAGTTCTCCTCTGGCTTACATTCATATTGTTTATATATAAATATTAAATATAAATATTGTTTATGTATAAAACGGCGCCATAACATATCGCAGGCGTTGAGTCATCTCTTCACAGGCGTTGGTCCTCTCATCACAGGCGTTGGGGCATCCGAATCCCCGTGAGAGGCTGGATACAAAACTGGACCTGACGAACGCCGTTTTTTTGGGGACAAGCGTCCCGAGATAACAGCAGAAAGGCAGATGGGAAATAATTAGCATAGCTGATGTTCATAATGATTTCCATTATACGGGAGTCGGTGTTAGAAACCACTATCTCACAAACTCTCCGTAACCTGAACTCTCCGCAACCCAACCATACGCGCTGACCCGATTGACTAAGGCTGTCGAGCCCCACTGTCGCGGAAATGCGTTTCAGTGGCAAACGGTTCCGTATGGCATAACAGAGGACTAAAAGGTAAGCATTATGTGAATGCTTGACTAAAGAGATGCGTCTTTAATCTAGTTTTAAACTGTGTCAGCGAGTCAGAGCCTCGGACCGTATCGGGAAGGCTATTCCAGAGTTTTGGAGCTAAATGCGAGAACGCCCTCCCTCCTTTAGTGGACTTCGATATCCTAGGAATGACCAGAAGCCTTGAATTTAGTGATCTTAAGGAACACGGTGGATTGTAAGGCCAAAGAAGGTCCGTTAAGTACATAGGAGCTAAACCATTTAGGGCTTTATAGGTTAGTAGCAGTATTTTGTAATTGATACGGAACTTAATAGGTAACCAGTGTAGAGATGATAAAATCGGTGTTATATGATCATATTTTCTTGACCTAGTAAGAACTCTAGCAGCTGCATTTTGTACTAACTGTAGCTTGTTTATTGAGGATGCAGGACAACCGGCTAATAAAGCATTACAGTAATCTAGTCTCGAGGTCATGAATGCGTGAACTCATTTTTCTGCATCAGAGATAGATAGCATGTTGCGTAGCTTAGCAATGTTTCTAAGGTGGAAAAAGGCTGTTCTTGTAACATATGAAATATTATTTTCAAAAGACAAGTTGCGGTTTAGTATAACACCCAGGTCTTTTACTGTAGTGGATAAAGTAACAGGACATCCGTCTATATTAAAGTTGTACTGTAAGAGGTTTTGTGAGTAGTTTTTTGGACCAATAAGTAATACCTCCGTTTTATCTGAATTTAATAGCAGGAAATTACGCGTCATCCAGCATTTTATATCTTTGAGACACTCTGTTATTTTAGATGAGTTAGTGTTTTCATCTGGTCGCGATGAAATATATAATTGAGTGTCGTCAGCGTAACAGTGGAAATTAATTCCATGTTTTCTTATAATATTACCAAGTGGCAGCATATATATTGAGAATAGCAGAGGGCCTAAAACCGATCCTTGCGGTACTCCATAGTCTACAGACGTTATCTTTGATTTTTCCCCATTTAAACAGACAAAATGATAACGGTCCGATAGGTACGATCTAAACCAGCTTAATGCCTGTCCCTGGACACCAGTGTAGTTTTGTAGTCGATCCAAGAGTATTTTATGATCTATAGTGTCGAACGCAACGCTAAGATCAAGTAGGACTAGTATTGAGAAACAGCCTTGGTCAGAAGCTAAAAGTAAATCATTTGTAATTTTAACTAGCGCAGTTTCTGTACTATGATGCGGTCTGAATCCTGACTGGAATTTTTCATAGATATCATTTTCTTGCAAAAAAGAGCACAATTGAGCAGACACAACTTTTTCTAGTATTTTGGACATAAATGGAAGATTTGAAATTGGTCTGTAATTTGCCAAGTTATTTGTATCTAATTGCGGTTTCTTAATGAGAGGTTTTATTACTGCCAGCTTGAATATTTTTGGAACATGGCCTAAAGATAAAGACGAGTTAATAATATTGAGGAGAGGCTCTTCCACTACAGGTAATAGTTCTTTCAGTAGTTTAGTGGGTATTGGATCTAATAAACAAGTTGTTGGTTTAAAAGCAATGATAAGTTTATTTAGCTCCTCCTGTCCTATCGTTGTAAAGCGGTGTAGTTGTTCTAGAGGGGCCATAATTGAAGCTGAATCATAAGACACCATAGAGGATTGTACATTTATAATTGTGTTTCGGATGCTTTCTATTTTCTCATTGAAGTAATTCATATAATCATTACTACTAAACTGTAACGGTATATTTTGCTCTGGTGATGTCTTTTTATTTGTTAGTCTAGCCACGGTGTTAAATTAAAACCTTGGATTATTTTGGTTATTTTCGATTAGTTTGCGGAGATGCTCAGCCCTGGCTGTTTTTAGTGTCTTTTTATAACGTGACATACTGTCTTTCCACGCGATTCTAAAGACCTCTAAATTAGTTTGTTTCCATTTACGCTCTAAATTGCGAGTTTCTCTCTTGATAGCATGCGTAGCACTGTTGTACCATGGTGCTTTAGTTTTCTCTCTAACCTTTTTTAATAATAATAATAATAATAATAATTCATCACATTTATATAGCGCCTTTCTGGACACTCAAAGCGCTTCACATAGAGGGGGGAATCTCCTCAACCACCACCAGTGTGCAGCATCCACCTGGATGATGCGACGGCTGCCATAGTGCGCCAGAACGCTCACCACACACCAGCTTACTGGTGGAGAGGAGACAGTGATGAAGCCAATTGGTATATATATGGGGATGATTAGGAGGCCATGATGGACAGAGGCCACTGGGCAAATCTGGCCAGGATGCCGGGGTTACACCCCTACTCTTGCGAAAGACATCCTGGGATTTTTAATGACCACAGAGAGTCAGGACCTCGGTTTAACGTCTCATCCGAAGGACGGAATGAGACGTTAAATCTAATTGGTGCAACAATATCTAATGTACTAGTAAAAATGGTGCTTAAACTGCTAGTCATTTCCTCTAATTCATCTGTTTGTTTGGGTTCACTTAGCAGCTTAGATAGATCAGGTAAGCTATTTGAGAATCGATCTATAGTGGTTGGAAGGATTGTTCTGCCTGGTCTATAACGTGGCGCAACATGACATATTTCAGCAGTACGTATTATGCAAGTCACCATGTAATGATCAGTGACATCATCGCTTTGCGGTATAATATCTATATCAGTTGGATCGGTTCCAGAGGATGCCAATTGAATAGCCCTGATCTAGAGAGTAGCCTATAGCACACTGAAAAATAGTGCTCGACTTGGCGACCCATACAAAATCTCCCGCGACCGACTTGTGGGTCTGGACCCCGCCTTTGGGAATGACTGAACTAGTGCATGGAGTAGTCCGATCGCCTTCGTCCCTAAGAAAGATGGTTCACTGAGGCTGTGCCTGGACTTCAGAAAACTCAATTCTGTTTCTAAGTTTGATGATGTATCCAATGCCCACAATTAATGAGCTGGTGGAGAGGATTGGAAGAACCCGGGACAACACCACTTTAGATCTCTGTAAGGGATATTGGCAGGTTCCACTGGAGAATATGAATAGTGAACATCATTCTTTTGCTGAGAGCCATCTACCAACACACCTCTTCACAGTAGCACAATAGTAGCACAATGCTATTGATTGGTTTTTAAATGTTTTTAATATATCGTGCAGCCTTAGAAAACGGTCTATTAATGCGGTTCATGGATTCTCGTCTTTTTTTTTTTACATTTGAGTACTTAACATGTTATCGAGAAATCGTGACAGTCCTAATTACATTCATTAAAACATTGAGGGGTCTACATGATTATAATAAGTGTAATAAATAATATTTTTTTCTGTGTTCAAGTGTTACATCTCACTTTCTTGAGGGGTGATTGAGCAATTTATCTGTAAATGATTGAACACATAGCCTGCTCCTCAGTAACCTGATACGATCAACGTTTTACACTCTTTACTTTAAAGGGTACATATCATGCTTTTAAATCATTCATTTTTACTTATAAATCATACATTTGTGGTCTATATAAAGCATAACTGCAATGCTTGGGTCTGAATTCCTCATTATTATAACTCCACAGGCCCCTTTTCTACCCCTTTTCTGATGTGCGTCTGTGAGCGACCCGTTTCAAAGCGGCCCCTTTAAATAAAATGGAGTTGCGTCTTTCCCCGCCTGCTCTCCAGGTCGCTGAGTTCACACTCGGTTCAACTCATGGTTCAACTCCCCGCGTTCAGCCATTATTGTAGTTTGATAAGAGATATACGATTATATACTATAGCTTCAAAAAAACATTTTTAGTCACTCGTTAACAAAATGTCAACAACGGAAGACTTGTCCATCAAGCCTTACATATTCGAGCAAGAACGAGCGATTTGAAAAAGACGACGACGAACCTGCAGAACAACGTCTTCATATGGATGCAGCGGTATGTAACGTTAAGTTAACTATTTTGTGTTATTAGTAAAAGTCGACTAATTCTCTTGTTAAAAGAAGCACACTGACAAGATAAATGACTACGGTCCAATCTTACCACTAAAAATCTGCATTAATAATAATATAATACCCCTCATTCAGACGAAGTCGATCGGCAAACCCTTCTGTATACTGGCGGAGGTTGTTGAAGTGGGGATCCTTGAAGCAGGGCTGGACTGGGACAAAAAATCGGCCCGGGCATTTTGGCCCAGACTGGCCCACTACATATGAACATAAACACAACTGTACTGTGTACGCCCTTGAATATGTATACGAACAACTCCTATTCAAACCACCACCCCCATCTAATGAGTGAGATGAAATAACTATTAAGTTTAAAATCCAATTCTCCAATTGCATTGGCAATAGGCTACCAGTCTTTCTCACAAGATGTTTAGTATTTATTGGTCAGTGCACCTCTGTCCCTCTAGGGGGGTTCGGGGGCATGCTCCCCCGCAAGAAAATTTTGTGCTTTTTAATGTTAAATTCATCAATCTGGTGCACTTTGAGAGCTCAAAAATTAGAGCTCCAACCCATATTCAGTGTGCAAATTGAACAAAGAAAAAATCTTTTAGTTGGGGATATAGTGTCTGTCTACATTACATACTACATAATTAATCATAGTTATAATATTAATCACGTGACAGTTATAGCCATATATTGTAAAACACATGCACTGAAAAATAAAAGCGACTTTCATAATTAGCTTAGAACTAATTTCTTTAACTTGAAAGAGATATAAACACATTATCTTTTATTTTGATGGAAACGCCATTCAGCTTTTATTTTGGCGGAAAACATGGTTTACAAACGGGTCTTATAATTAATTAATAAATTATAATTCTAGTAAAATGCGTAATTGTCAAATATGCAGACGTGGAAATAATGCGTAACTGAGTAATGGGTTCCTTCTCATAGCCTGTCCTGTGTTCTGAAAGTAGCCTAGTTATGCTTACCACAGATCTCTACACTCACTAATGTCTCTCGTGATCCCCCTTACTCCTAATCAGACACTGAAGGCGGTTTCTTTTTTTTTTCACACCATATCTCTGCGCATATTTCTTGCGTTTCTTCTCCTTCGCCTCTGACTATTTTGACAGATACTCACTGACACTGCATGTTCGCTCAGCTCAGAGGGGGAGGTGATTAAAGATGTGATTGGACCAGCCCAGTGTCAATCAAGAAAATAACCAATGGGCCGCTGATCTCCGTTTCCTGGGCCGGTCTGTGAGAAAGGACCCAGTCACGCTGACTTTTTTGTCCGATGCGTTTCAACGGCACAAAGATCCCAGCGCCGCGGCCGCTAAACTAAACGCAATGAGCCGCTGACACGAGTTGGATGGGAAGTTAAAAAAATAAAGTTTGAGATGTATCGTATCGGCCCACTGGCCCACAAAGCACGTCGGCCCATCGGGCAAATGCCCGAATTGCCCGATGGCCAGTCCAGCCCTGCCTTGAAGTGCTTCAGGTCACTACATCCAAGAACCGAACATTTTGACTTGCCCTCTTGTAACTTCTGCATCATTGAGCTTAGACTACAAAATCGGAGCGAGAAATAATAATGGCGGATTGCTAGAAGTGTTGGGCCGGTATTCAATGTCCTTATTTGTCAGTTCCGCTGCAAATACAGTGACGTGATAGTTCAAAAACATCATAGAGAACAGAAAAATCTGAACGGTTGAAAAATATGACCAAAACAGAATATAAAGATATAAACGAAGCACCTGAAGAGAATAATTTCATCTTTTCTGTACTTATAAACACTCCAAATATACAACAAAATGCATTTAAGGGCTAAAAAAGTGGATTTTGCATGATATGTCCCCTTTAAACACAATCTCAGCACAGTCAGGACTTTAGTACATTAAGAATCAAGATGAATTCATCTTTAATGACCATCACATCCATCTTTTTTCTGTGATCATCTTTACACATTATTTAATGTGATATAAACAATTTATATACAATTTTATCTAAGCTTTCACTCTCACACAAATACACATAAATAACATAGTGAATCTCACTTACAGTAAACATGGTGATTTTTGTTTTGTTTTTTAAATGATAAATTCTGTTATTCGATCTGTATTTCTGATCTGAGAGAGTGAAGAGTGTGTCATTGTTCTCTACAGGTTGAGTGATTGTGGTGTCACAGATGAAGGTTGTGCTCCTCTGGCTTCAGCTCTGAGATCAAACCCTTCACACCTGAGAAAACTGGATTTGTCTAAGAATAATCTAGGAGACTCGGGAGTGAAGCTGCTCTCTGCTATACTGGAGAATCCTCTCTGTAAACTGGAGGAACTGTGGTAAGATCATCTCTACCATAAAGACTTCGAGTGAATAAGCGTTAATATGTAGATAGTGCATACAATATATCTTTGGCATAAACCCCATCCGGTGCTTAAGCTACAGATTCCTGCTTGAACCGTTAAATACTGCTGACGGTAGAAGGCAGCGATGATGTCACCCTCTTATGGTAACACATGCACTTCACCTTATGCACCTTCATTCTCCCTCAGCTGTTTCTAGTTACACTCTCATCACGCTCATTCTCCCACCTGTTCTCTCTTTCCTCTAATTGTTTGTGCTACTTCTAGTTCTCCTTTCTCCGTTTCTTTGCCAGATTCTTTCGAACTCTACACATGCAAAAGGCTACTCCTACCTGCTGTATCTGTCCTATCCGAGACTTGTCTTGTCTGACCACTCATCTCACCTGGTACAGGTCTAACTCTATTTGTCATAAACTAAGGGGGCTTTCACATTGGCAGTTTAGTTCGGAACGGAGCATGGTTCGCATGAAAAATCGCTAATGTGAACGCTGTCATGGGACCCGGGTGCTCACTGGGGTACCGAACCCAAGACTACCTGAAGGAGGTGGTCTGAGTTCAGTTGCTTCCGAACCATACCGCGGTTCGCGTGAATGTGAAAGCAACACAGATTTGGGGGCGCACTTGTACAGGAAGTTGTAATGACAGGTGTTGACCTAGAGGTGTCAGTGTTCTAGCGGGGGATCATAGAGGGCCGAAGAAGAGACATACGGGAAGTGTTGGGTTGTTGTTGTTAAGCCAACTTGTGAATAAACTGGACACAGAGAGAACTCACGCGTTGTCGTTGTCTTCTCAGTATTAAATGACTGTAAGGAATACCAACAGACATTACATGGTGTCAGAATAGCCTGTGTGTCAGTAAGAAGACATGGCGAAGTTTAGCCCGCCGAGCGAGTTTAAGTTTGAGAGCCCAACCGAATGGCCGGAGTGGAAACAGCGATTTCGCCGCTATCGGTTGGCCACGAAGCTAAACAAAGATGACGGCGAGATTCAAGTAAGTTCGCTGATCTACGCAATGGGCAGTGAAGCTGAAAAGATATTCAGTTCATTCGAGTTTGACGAGGAAGATGAAAAGAAAGACTTTGAAGTGGTCATGAAAAAGTTTGACGACTACTTTATTCCACGACGCAACATCATACACGAGCGTGCATGTTTCTATCAACGGAGCCAGCAATCCGGGGAAACGGCGGAGATGTACATCAGGACATTATATGAGTTAGCAGAGCACTGCCAGTTCGGGACTACAAGGGATGAACATATAAGGGATCGTCTTGTGGTAGGAATAGCAGACAAAGAACTTTCCCGCCAGTTTCAGCTCAAAGCAGATCTAACGTTGACGCACGTGATTGAACGGGTGCGCCAGACAGAGGCGATAACGCGTCAGGTTAATCTTCAGACCAGTCGACCGGAAGCTCAGCTGGCCAACGTTAATGCGGTCAAAGGGAAGGATTGGCAATATAAGAAAAAGAGTCAGCGACGTGGGAATAGCAGCCAGGCAACCAACACAAAGGATGAGTGTGGGAGGTGCGGTAAGCCACAACACTCTAATGAAAGAAATTGTCCTGCGTTGAAAAGCAAGTGTAATAAATGTCACAAGGAAGGACATTGGGAACGTAAATGTCGTTCTAAAGCAGTGAGAGAAGTCACAAGCGAACAACCTGGACTAACATACTTCCTAGGAGCAGTTGACAGGGAGGATAATGAGAATACATGGACTGTTTGCTTACCTGTAAACAATGTGGGTGTAACCTTTAAAATTGACACAGGAGCGGACGCTACCATTATTGATGAGGGGACATTCAAAAAGATGAGTCCTAAAATAAAGCTCGTGCCACCTGTCACTCGTTTTGTTAGCCCAGGGGGCGATCTCAGTTGCATGGGCATGTTCCAGAGTTTCACAAGCTATAAAGGGAGGAAGTACCCTCTGAAAGTGTATGTGACTGAAGGAAAAAGCTGCTTACTGGGCCGTGAGGAAGCAGTGGAAATGGGTCTAGTCAAGAGGATGAATGAGGTCAGTAGCGTGTTTGGATCTAGCGGGTTATTGAAAACTGAGCCAGTCAGAATAGCCCTGCTCGATGATGTCCAACCATACGCAGTGCCGACAGCCAGGCGGATACCCCTGCCACTGGTACCGCTGGTAAAAAAGGAACTGCATCGCATGGAGGAGGAGGGCATAATCGAAAAGGTAACACAGCCAACAGAATGGTGTGCCGCGATGGTGCCGGTACTCAAACCCAACAAAAGGGAAGTCCGCCTTTGTGCAGACCTCAGGAAACTGAACAAAGCAGTGAAACGGGAGAAGTATGTTCTGCCAACGGTGGAGGAAATAATGCCAAAGCTCGCCGGGTCAAAAGTATTCACCTCGCTGGATGCAGCAAGTGGATTTTATCAGATCCCCCTGCATGAGGAGAGCAGGTTGCTCACCACTTTCATCACTCCATTTGGGAGATACGCCTTCCGCCGTCTCCCTTTCGGGATAACAAGTGCTCCTGAAATTTTCCAGAGGAAAATGGCGGAGACTCTGGCCGGCTTAGAAGGGACTGAGATCTTTATGGATGACATTTTAATTCACGCAGAGACAGAGGAGCAACATGACCGACGCCTGGCTGAGGTGTTGAGGGTCATTGAAGCAGCAGGGCTCAAGTTGAACCAGGCAAAGTGCAAGTTCAGACAGAGGCAGGTTCGTTTCCTGGGTCACTTAATCGACGAGGCGGGCGTCAGAGCCGACCCCAACAAAGTCACAGGAATACGGAACTTTCCACAGCCACAAAACGTCACAGAACTCAAAAGGTTCTTGGGGATGGTTAATTATTTAGCCAAGTTCATTCCAGAGCTATCAACAGTGGCTCACCCACTGTACGAGTTACTGAAAGGAGACAAAGAGTGGATGTGGGGACCTGCACAGTGTGAGGCGTTCAGGAGCTTAAAGACTGCATTAGCCACAGCTCCAGTACTTACCTTCTACGATGCCAACAAGCCCACTATAGTGTCAGCAGATGCCAGCAGCTATGGGCTGGGCGGCGTTCTACTCCAGCAGCACGGGGATCACTGGAAGCCTGTGGCCTACTGCTCCAGACGGTTAAGTGACGCGGAGAAAAGATATGCGCAAATAGAGAAGGAGTGCTTAGCAAGTGTGTGGTCCTGTGAACGGTTTGACAAATACCTATATGGACTGGACGGCTTTAGACTGGTTACTGATCACAAGCCGTTGGTGCCTCTCATGAACAGTAAAGACTTAGACTGTGTCCCAATTAGGTGCCAGAGGCTATTGATGAGACTAATGCGTTTCAATGCTACGGCTGAGCATGCACCAGGCAAAACATTAGCGGTGGCAGATGCGCTCTCTAGAAGCCCAGAGCAATGTTTGGGGGATGGGGTCTGTCACGAGGAGGTGGCCGCACATATCGAGGCTGTCATGAGCCAGGTCCCGGCCACACCACACCGGATGGCGGAGCTTAGACAGTACACAGAATATGATAGACAGCTCCAGACAGTCATAGGCTTCATCAGGAATGGGTGGCCTGATTATATAGGAAAGGTGCCTGAGGTAGTCAAAGACTTCTACCAAATGAGAGGAGAACTATCTGAGATAGATGGTTTGGTCATTAGAGGCAACCGCATTGTCATTCCCACAGAAAAAAGGAAGGCCATCCTGGAGAGAATCCATGACGGACATCAAGGCCTGGTAAAGTGCAGAGAAAGAGCTCACCAATCCGTATGGTGGCCTGGAATGTCTGGTGAGATCGAAAAAACTGTACAAGAGTGTGCGTTTTGTAGAGAGAACAGAAACACACAAAATAAGGAGCCGTTAATGCCCAGCGAACTCCCATCTAGGCCATGGCAGAAAGTTGGGGTAGATCTGTGCGAGTTTAAGAAGCAAAACTACTTAATAGTATCAGATTATTACTCTAGATATCTGGAGATTTTGAATCTGCCTACAACTACCACCAGCCAGGTTGTAGCTAAGCTGAAAGCCACATTCGCACGTTTTGGCATCCCTGAAGTAATGGTGAGCGACAATGGGCCCCAGCTATCTTCAGAAGAGATGAGGGAGTTTAGTGAGGAATATGATTTTGTTCACATTACATCCAGCCCTCACTACCCTCAAAGTAACGGACAGGCAGAGCGGGCCGTTCAGTTAGCGAAATCTATACTGAGGCAGAAGGACCCCCTCCTGGCCCTGATGGCATACCGAGCCACACCCACCTCTTCGACAGGAGTCAGTCCAGCAGAACTGCTGATGGGCAGGAAAATCAGGACCACCTTGCCCACCTTGCAGGACAATCTGAAACCAAACTGGCCGAATGAAGAGGTGATCAGACAGGCTGACGCTGCAGCCAAGCAAAAGCAAGCTTATTACTATAACCGCAGGAATGGAGTAAGGGTTCTACCCCCACTGAGCCTAGGGGACCCGGTGCTAACAAAGTTGGATGGACAAAAACAGTGGACAATGCCTGCTGTCGTTCACAGTTCCAGCTCTACTCCAAGGTCCTATATCGTGGAGACAGCACAGGGACAGCGCTACAGGAGGAACCGACGACACCTGCAATCCACACCCAAACCGATCACAACTGTCAGTGAAAGCCCTGACCAAGTTGCCCCTGAGGTCAGGAAAACTGAGGACACGCATGGTACTGAGACACAAAACACTTCCACACCCACACAAGGGACGGTAACCATCACTCGCTCAGGGAGAGTGAGCAAAGCCCCAGACAAACTGGACTGGTGATTATGGACTCTTGATTGAATAGACCTGAAAAAAAAAAATGGTCGATTTGTTGTGGATTTATAGTATGTTTCAGGAAATGCACTTTATTGTTTGAAAAAAAAAAAAGAAAAAAAATGGTTCTGTGCATTAGCCTTCATTGGGGTTAGAAGTTAACAAGACAGTTTAGTCTTATAAGAAACATTGTTAATATACTGAAAGTGTTTATTGCTTATAATAACAGTTCATGTTAACTAAGAAGAGCAATATCTTT